ATGGACCATACCGGTCCAACACCTCCATTTTTTCTGGGCGATGGCAACAGCTACTTACCAAATAGTCCTGGCATCGCCTCTCTCTACTTATTTGCAATTCCAAAATCTCTTCCCTTTGTTTCTTGAGCTTCTCCAGGTCACTCTGTATTTGCTCCTGGAAGAAGAAAAATGGTTTGGGAGGGTGTCTAGGGAGGAGTGGGGAAGGGGTGGGATGCTTACCCTTGGCACATGGAGCCCCCGCTCTCCCTTTGAACATCCCCCCCCCCCCCCCCCCCAGTTTGGGGGGCGGGAGGGGAAGAAAAAATAAAATCACAGCATGGGCACGAGGATGGAGAAGACGTGGGAGGACAACAGAGGAGCCAGTTTCATTCTCACATGAAATAAATGGGAAAATACCTGTTGACTCATTTGGGGCAAAGGGTTTAATCTGAAAATTAGTATTTTCGTCTTTTTAGCCAAACGAAAAGAATTGTCTGGGATTGTTTTATTTTTTTTTTTTCCCCCTTAGCTCTCCCCAGTTATTTCCATTTATTCATTTTCTTGGTGGAAAAAACAATTCTAGAGAACTTCCAGCTGGCTTGAAGCCTGTGATCCTGAGAACCTCGAAGAGACTACAGCATCCCTTAAGGTGGTCAGAAAAATTTCGGAAAAGGAATAACCCACGCCTGGTCATGGACCTGACCTTGTCCTCTTGGGCAGATTCCTCTGCGTAGGCTGTAGTGGGACCTCCATGAGCCCTTGGTCCACCACGGCTGGAGCCAGATGCTTTTGCACCACCCTTGAAGGCGAACGTCCTCTCGCGCCAGGAGCAGAGGTGCTCCTTCTCCTCCCTGCCTCCTTCCAGACCCAAGAGCTTCAGCTTCTCCTCTAAATGCTCCAAATGCAGTTTCGGCTGGAAATTCCCTTTCCTGAGCCGGCTTCGGTGGCCGACTGCCTCGGCATCTCCAAGCCTTCCTCTCTCCGGCCAGGATCGGGCTGTGCCGACTCCGTGGCCGGTGGGGTCACAGCCCAGGCGCCCAGGATCCGGCCGATGCTGGAGGACGGTGTGGTGGGTGCTTTCGCCTCCTCCTTCCCTTGCTCTAGATGAACCGGAGGCCATGGCAGCAGCTTCTCCAGCCTCTCTTGTTCCTCGTCCCCTTGCTGCCTGCAGCGGAGTGAACATATAAAAGGTCTCAGCGTGGGTGGAAGAAGGAGGAGCAGCAGAGAGCAGCTCTAATCTCTTTTAGACGTTAATTTTAGGAAGGGGTGAATTGCCCTCTAGCAAGGCTTGGACTTTAACGTCCATCTCTTGGGCACCCAGGTTTGTCTCGCCTACGTGCGAGTCTGCACCGCGGGCGTTGACATCTCAGCCTGGCTTCTCCGCTCCTGGGATGGCCCAAGGAGAAGGAGCCAACCTTCCCACCCGGTGGGAACCGGCAGTTGGCCCCCAAAGCTCAGAACCTCCTCCCTTGCTGCCATGCCACACGCGACCTGGTGTCCCCCCCTCCGCGTCCGCTCCCCACCCTTCAAAGCACGGACCGGAGCCTTAGGGCGCACTTGCCAACGGAGGCACCCTCCAACGTGCTCAGAAACCGTGCTGGAAAGCAGTTTTTATGTCTTCTTGCTGCTCCCCCTTTGTTGGGATCCGATTTTAATCGATCGATGCAGCAGATGCGGAACCTGAAAGCGCGCCCGAAGCAGGCTCAGCAAAACGACTCCCCCCCCCC